CTCATAACATCTGGCTTCTCTGTAAAACGCTCTGCAAAAGCCTGTGAGTGTATGAACTGCAGACCAGTATGCCTCATTAACAAAGAGAGTTTGTTGAGGGTGTTCTGGGTTCCAGTCTGGGCCACGCCGTCTGGTCGTTCCTTTTTATAGCGTTGGACAACATAAAATAACAAACCTACTGAGGAAGAGTCCAGGTCTCAGACATGTATGGCTGCCCATTCTTCTCATTACCCCAGCTGAGAGCATCACTTCTACCCACACATTAGTTAGCAGTAGACAGGTAATGACTCATTTACTGAGTCAGCACTAAGACATCATGTTGTAGAGCACAAAGACCTCGGTCATGCTCCGTGGTCTCAGAAACCGTTTACTGTGTTTCTATTTCTTCACAAGGTCACAGCTGAACTACAGCTGTTTATGAAACCTCCCCACTCCTGCAGAAGCATGTGCATGGTGAAGATGTGCACCGTACCTTTATTAGTGTCAGTAACCAGCTCGCCTTCCTTTTGTTTTTTACCATTGTCTTTGCCTGCCTCCTTCAGCCCTAAAGTGGCCATCTGCTGCCATGATTGCAGGTACTATTCAGGCTTAGGCGCCCTGTTTTATGTGACCACCAGTTCCTGTATCCACTCTGGAGTAGCTCCTCGTGTCCGTGTAATCACTCGTCTCCCCCCTCCTTCTTTCTTCCGTCTCCTTTTATGTTGCTCTGGTTTCGCTGCTCCCTCCCTTACAACGTGAGAAACATCTGCCGTTCCTTTCTGCGGGTTGTCGTCGCCTCCTGCGTTCAACATTTCCAAATAGTCTTCTCTCTAATTTCTATTCTGGCCTGTACTTTAAAATGGTCACCAATAAAAGATGTAGCAGCATGTGTTTTAATAATGAGAATATGTCACTTTTCAACTTTTATGTCCTTTACCAAAGGTTTCAGTCATTTTAGAAATTGAATGTGTGCCTTTTGTAAACACCACTTCTGTCGCCATAAATTAACTAATCTTACCCACTATTCCATTGTTCAGATCTTTTGAGGTGAGTTTCTGTGGAAAATTTATGAGCAATTAATATCTAACTTATAGGTGTCTGTCTGAATGACCTCAGTTTGAAGAGACAGGAATGCTCTGTTTGGACCAATAGGCTAACAGCTAGTTCAGGTACTTCTGTCCTAAAAACCCTCTAATTTCAGAAATGTCAGTCACATCATGCTGTGTGCATACTATCTTATAAATCCTTTCACAAAGCAGTTATTTCTTTATGGGAGTCTAAGGTTATGTGCTGAAGGCATTAGCACTCAGATAGAGAAACAGGTAACTTAGTGAAGCTAGAAGTCTGTAGGTTTTCCAATAAGAATTTGGTCATATTTAAGCCAGAATGACAATGTAATGTGAACCTGACATCAGTTTAAATCATAACATTCTGCTCAAGTTGTATTAAAGAGACAGTGTGTAGTTTTTACCATTAATTTCTGGAAACATCCATCAAAATGTTGTTGAAAATGAATGAAATGATGCCCAGTTGTTGAAAAATATTTGTGGCTTTGTAACATGTAACCATAAAAATCAGGTCTAAAATAGATGGGACCAGGCCTAAGTCTCTGGGCGACGCCATATTAGAAGCCATGTTTCCTTCTACGGGAGCCCTTGAGAACAGATGGTTACAAAACTTTTGTCATCCTTAAATGTTGTTTTACACATTTACCTCTTCACGTGTTGCCAGTGATGATAGGGAGTCTGATGTACTTGTCGTTTTGCTAAAGTTTGCATGCCCCATGACCTTTTGACCCTAATGGGCGTCCATTAGTAAGGTCTTACTCCAACACAAAACTACTGCTTGCTTGCAATGATATAGGTATCTACTGCCCCCCATCGCCAGGAAAAATACACACTGTCACTTTAAGATGGCACTAGGCCACTCTGACTAGCTGTTGGCTTGTCAATCCACTGAGCTGAAGCTGTTCACAGAGATAGCTACAGGTAAGATAACATTTGTTCCTTGTGTCCCACTGAAACTCACTTCAAAGATCTAAACTACTGCTCTGAGCTAAACTGACTTCATACTCAACAGGAAACTTGAGCATTCACTGAGACCGAGCTGGAAACACAATCTGCTGTTTCTCCTCAGAACGTTGTGGGGGGGAAATTGGACATAAATAAACGTATAATGCTGACAGCTAAATTCTCCCTTTTGGGTTAATTAGCAACACAACTACAGTTAGCATTCTGAAAAAGTCCTAGCTTGCTATTGTAAAGAATGGGTAGTTAACCTCTTACACAGGACATTCATGATGCTACACTAGCGACAAAAGGCCAGCTGGGGAGAAGAAACCCACAAAAACACACAAGCGATCTTGGGAGGTATAGCACAACAGCTTTTGACTTTTGATTTCCCCGTCTTCCAGACTACAGTGGGATCCAGTTGCAGGGGTGCTGCAGCCAGACCAGCTTGAACAGTAATGGTAGTCTTCCAGGCAGCCATCCAGAACAGCGTGTGGCCAGCTGGGCCACCTGCTTTGAACGCCTACTCCAGGACCCCGTGGGCGTGCGTTACTTCTCGGTATGTTTGGACAAAGTTTAATTTGTCAAAAACCTCACAGGCTTTCAAAAGTGTAGTCATGCTGCTAGCTTTTAGCTTCTTAGCGTAGCACGTGTGCAGTAAGTATGATAGTTTACGGATTGTGACTTTAAGATTCATAGTTTTGATTCTTGGGTGTTTTAAAACAAATCAACCAAATTTACTCTGAAGTCACTAAATGAGTGTAAGCAGCTGCATTTTCCCAGATATGTGAGGAGCACATAATCTTTCACATTAGTGTACATATCCACATATTACTAACAATTATGATCTTTTATTGAAAAATGGTTCCAGTTTGTGACAGTTTATCAGAAGTCATCCTGGCAAGTAGAAGCACCTTTGTTAGAATGTACTATTTCCTCCCACACAAAAGATATTTCATTGAATTTAGCCAACAACACCTTCAGAAAGCTCAACACTAAGTGCTGGCTTCCCAAAGCACCCTCCCTCCCTCCGCAGTGATCCGCTCCACTCGCCCACTCTATCCCTGTGCCTACACTAACAATACACCAGTCTTACATTACACCTAACAATTTCTGCCCTCGCTAATGATCTTAACAGCAGCAGCAGCACTGTTAAAATGAGAACGGCAGTTTCACATCTTCCCAACTTCTTGTTTGCTTCCGCAGGAATTTCTCAAGAAGGAATTTAGTGAGGAGAATATCTTGTTCTGGCAGGCCTGTGAATACTACAGTCACGTTCCTGCAACAGATAAGAAGCAGGTAAGTGTAGCCATGGATGTATAATAATACAGGCCTTTACTGTTATTATTGTAGAGGTTCATACGTGTCTGACACTTGCTTCAGTCTTCACATTGCTTTTGGTGGATTGAACAAAGAAGATCTTGATTGGCATGGTTCAACCCATGTCTTTTGTTCTGGACTGTCTTCCAGAAACAGACTAGTTCAGATATCAGGATAAATAAAAGCACACTTTAATTACAGCATGCTTTTAGCGATGCAACGATACCACTTTTTTCCAAACCGATACAATACCGATACTTTTATTTGAGTACTCGCCGATACCGATTACCAAAACCAATACTTCTACCACACAAAAAAATGCAATGATTCGGAATACAGATTTTATTTTCTTCTCTGCTTTCAACAGGAAAAGACTGTGAGGCACATAAAGAGTAAAATATATGAATAGAAATCATCACAAAACTAAAATATTAGGTCAACAGAAATGACAAGTTACAGTGAAGCCATCTTCAAGCAACTGCATTGGTATCGGTTCCAGGTATCGGTTAACTTTTACCGATACTGGTATCGGTTTCTGTGCCGATACCGATACCAGTATTGTATCGGTGCATCCCTACATGCTTTGATGCCTTCTCTAATTTCCCTCTGGGATTAATAAAGTATTGATTGATTCATTCATTCCTTCATTCCTCAGAATAGCAACGGATTCAAACCTTAATATAAATCCTGGTGAACTTGATTCTGATTTCCTCACCATTTTCCACCTTTAGTGAAGCAAGTAGTTGTGGTTGCCTGCACAAAATCTCAATGCTCCTATGGAGTGTGGCAAGACAGACATGCAGAGAAAAATCATTTTGCTTAATCTACTATCTGTCTAGAGTTTTAGGCTAGACTCCTGGGCCATTTTGAGCCCCAACAAAGGTTAACATGCTCTACAAAGGCTGATTCAAACGTTTCCAATTTAAAAACAACATTTTAGATCAACAGACATCCACTAACAAACACATTTGCAGCAGATATATTTAAAAAAAATTCTCCAAAATTGTGGAAATCTACAAATATGTCTAGTTGTTGGACGCGCTAAACCCAACAGATAAAAATAAAGTTTATAATTTCACAGATCATTGTTATAGCTATCATTAATTAGCACTTAGCGATAATGTGTTTATGAACCAAGAGAAATGATACGTCTTTTCTTTTTATGTTAGCTTAACAAACCAGGAAGGAACATTTAATTTTGATGTCCATTAAACGACCTGTTCCAGTCACCCATCAATTTCTGTTAAACGTGTTTTTGGATATGTGACGTCTTAATAAAAGATCAGTTAGAAAGGCGCCTAATGGCAGCGTTTTCCCGTCGTTCCCGCCCGGCAGCTGTCCCAGAAGGCAGGGGAGATCTACAACAGCTTCCTGTCCAGTAAAGCTACCATGCCGGTCAACATCGACAGCCAGGCCCAGCTGGCCGACGATGTCCTCACATCACCGCGACCCGACATGTTCAAGACTCAGCAGCTGCAGGTACTCATCTGGGTTCTCCAACCTGTTTCTGGGTCTCTCGGCGCTCATCAACATGTTCCACATACCCAGGTCCTTTTTTCTCTCTCATCTGAATAATTAGTTTGTTTGGCACCCAGCTGAGCATCGACACGTCTTTTAGGCAGTATTAATAGAGGAGGGATTCTGCGAGCACTAGGGGGTTTAGCTCTCATCTAGCTTTTAGTCGCTTTGTCTGAGCATATTGAGATTTCTTTTCCTTTTTTCTGTCGGGTGGCCATCTGGGTTTGTTTACGAAAAGGCTCAGAGGCTTTACCAGAGAGATGAACACAAACTGGCATCCACCCACAGAGAATCCAGCACACAGTATACACACAGAGGCAGGGGCGTTCAGTCAGACGTCGGCGTATGAGCATCATCACATGTGAACAACTGAGGCTGCTGTCATAACATCAGCTGGAGCCACAAATCATCTCTGGCTGATCTTTCTGTCTTGCTTTTCCTACAAGATTGTTTTGTTTTTTTCCCCACTCAGATTTTTAACCTGATGAAGTTCGACAGCTACTCTCGTTTCCTCAAGTCGTCTCTCTACCAGGAGTGTTTACGCGCTGAGGTGGCCGGCCAGCCCCTGCCGGACCCTTACCATATACCCTGCAGTCCCGCGCCCTCCAAACACAGTGCCAGCTCAGACCGCTCCACCCTCTCCACGCCTAAAAAGGTTCCCTACCTAAAACCGTCCCTCTAGAAGTCTGGGGAGGTTAGCACCAACAGTCGTGTCTGCTCCTCGTCCCACAGGACTCCAGAAAACCAAAATCAGGGAAGTCGCCAAACGAAGACAGCCGCGAAGAGAGCGCCGATAAGAAACGCGGAATCTTCTTCTCGTGGTCTCGCAACAGGAGCTTCGGGAAAGGCCCAAAAAAGAAAGACATCGGGGACATTCACCTTGGTGATTCATGATTCCAGCTTTGTCTGCTAATAAATTCTGCTGAGTTGTTTTAATCTTATTTACCAAAACTTTTTTTCTGCAGACTACACTAGCAGTAATGGACGCAGGGAGTCCCAGGGCTCCTTGTCATCCAGCGCGAGTCTGGAGATTCCCTCTTCCAGCAAGATTGAGGTAAGTTTCTTCTTGGTCAGATTGCCACGGCAACATGGAGCCCAGAGTCTGGTAATGCCATAATAACAGGTCACGTTATTTGCTTTGTGTGTTGTGTCTTCAGTCCGATAACCGGCACTCGGTGGGGGCGTGGGAACGCTCTCCCAGACCCTGTAGCGTGCTGCTTCCCGACGGCTCGTGCTCCTCCATCACCCTTCGACCCGGAGCTTCCATCAGAGAGGTCCTGCAGGATCTGTGTCAAAATATCTGTGTCAACATTGCTGCTGTTGACCTCTTCCTGGTGGGGGGAGAGAAGGTGAGGACCTCGTTCACTTCCGAGTCTTGGAGACGCATTAAAGGTGCATCATGTAGAAATGAAGTAAAAATTACATCTTCTGGTAAAACTTGGTTACTGCAAAAACTTGAAACAACTCTGGACTTTTTGCTGGCCGTCGTCAAATTACAGTTGTCGACGCTGCGGCATTAGCTCGCAGGAGACACGGCACCCCCACACTCGCTGATGGTAAACAGTAGTTACGTCCCTCCTTCCTTTGTTTTGAAAGGAGAAAAACTGGCAATCCCCACAGCCAGCTGGATATGAAACATGTTTCAGTGTAACCTTCCTTCCTAAATGACTGAAACGTTAGACTCTTTTGGGATTTTCTCGCTGTAAAATTATCACTATGTTCTTACATACTGCACCTTTAAGATAAACAGCAATCAGTGCCCTATAAAGAAAAAAGTAGAATTTGTATCTGTAAAAGCAGAAATTCACAAGAATATTATATATCTATACATTTTTATATATTTAGATTTATATTCTATCTATACATATTTTTTTCTTTTTTATGTTTTAACTCAACGACCTGTGAGGGGGGAAAGGCAAAGAATCTATTCTTTAAACTTTATTGGTGAATTATTTTCATCATAAATACTTTTTATAGCGTAGAAAATATCTAAATGTTTGTTTTGTACATTTATGAGTTTAATCTTTCAGAATATTTTTATTTTCTCTTGCACATTCAAGTTTAACATTAAAACAGTTTGTTTCTGATAGGTTTACTAAGACTTTTTGGAAGTTTTTCTTGTTTTCTTTCAAGTCTATGAATTTTAAATCTGAGAGAATATTCTACTTTTCTTTTGGTTAAATTATACTTTTAATCAGATTATTTTCATATAAATTTAAAAAAATAAATGAATTCATCGTTGTAACTCTGGACGTTTTGACTCCTTTTCTCAAGAATCAATACATCTGCAACATAGTAGAATATTATTATGTTCATTTATGCCTTTCATTTTTCTAGCAAAGTTTTGATTCAGTAATCTCAAGAAACCAAAGTTTTTCTCTGGTAAATGTAGGACTTTCATTAAGGGGGGTTGAAGTTTTCCTTGCAAGTCCATGAATTTTAAATGTAGACAAGACAGTTTTGCACAGAGACAACTATACAGCAGCAAGAACAGCACAAACCTCACAAAACAATGGACTTAGATATGAAACATTAATGACTAGAACTAGAAAACTAACAGAATTCCAATAAGACACTGAGTAGAAAACTAGAAGTGGCTAGAGACTAGTGGTGGTGAGGGATTAGAGACTAGTGGTGGTGAGGGATTAGAGACTAGTGATGGTTAGAGACTAGTGATGGTGAGGGATTAGAGACTAGTGGTGGTGAGGGATTAGAGACTAGTGATGTGAGGGATTAGAGACTAGTGGTGGTAAGGGATTAGAGACTAGTGGTGGTGAGGGATTAGAGACTAGTGGTGGTACGGGATTAGAGACTAGTGATGGGGAGGGATTAGAGACTAGTGATGGTGAGGGATTAGAGACTAGTGGTGGTAAGGGATTAGAGACTAGTGATGTGAGGGATTAGAGACTAGTGGTGGTAAGGGATTAGAGACTAGTGATGGTGAGGGATTAGAGACTAGTGGTGGTGAGGGATTAGAGACTAGTGATGGGGAGGGGATTAGAGACTAGTGATGGTGAGGGATTAGAGACTAGTGGTGGTGACGGATTAGAGACTAGTGGTAGTGAGGGATTAGAGACTAATGGTGGTGAGGGATTAGAGACTAGTGGTGGTGAGGGATTAGAGACTAGTGGTGGTGAGGGATTAGAGACTAGCGGTGGTGAGGGATTAGAGACTAGCGGTGGTGAGGGATTAGAGACTAGTGGTGGTAAGGGATTAGAGACTAGTGATGGTGACGGATTAGAGACTAGTGGTGGTAAGGGATTAGAGACTAGTGGTGGTGAGGGATTAGAGACTAGTGGTGGTGAGGGATTAGAGACTAGTGATGTGAGGGATTAGAGACTAGTGGTGGTAAGGGATTAGAGACTAGTGGTGGTGAGGGATTAGAGACTAGTGGTAGTAAGGGATTAGAGACTAGTGATGGTGATGGATTAGAGACTAGTGGTAGTGAGGGATTAGAGACTAGTGGTGGTGAGGGATTAGAGACTAGTGGTGGTGAGGGATTAGAGACTAGTGGTGGTGAGGGATTAGAGACTAGCGGTGGTGAGGGATTAGAGACTAGTGGTGGTAAGGGATTAGAGACTAGTGATGGTGACGGATTAGAGACTAGTGGTGGTGAGGGATTAGAGACTAGTGGTGGTGAGGGATTAGAGACTAGCGGTGGTGAGGGATTAGAGACTAGCGGTGGTGAGGGATTAGAGACTAGCGGTGGTGAGGGATTAGAGACTAGCGGTGGTGAGGGATTAGAGACTAGTGGTGGTGAGGGATTAGAGACTAGTGGTGGTGAGGGATTAGAGACTAGTGGTGGTGAGGGATTAGAGACTAGTGGTGGTGAGGGATTATAAGGAAAGGCAACTGAGAATTTCTAGTTACAACCAAGCAATACTAAGTTTGTATAACGCTCCACACAAATCCTGGTGATTTGTGTTACTCTGAGTAGGTAAGAAAGGAAAACATGGATTAAAGTAAGAGTGTAAGGTGACCAAAACTAAAGCAGCAAAAGAAATAATAACAGACAAATACCTGAGAGCTAAAATGTAAGGAAATACCGTTTCAGCTGCTCTTCATGAAACATTCTCTTGAAACCGTTTTTAGGTTCATTTACAATAGCACCCATTTTATTCTAGTAAATTTATGCCCTCTTCATATTTTTCTTATGAATTAAATTAAATCTTTCCCAGAATTAGAGAATATACAGTTTTTCCCCACAAATAATGACGCTCACTGATTTTGAGATTTATTTTCACCCTCCTCTCAGCTGTTGGTGCTGTAGTCTCATATGCTGTCAGGAGTATTCAGTTCCCTTCTGCCCCTCACAGCCTTTGGTGCTGGACCAAGACTGCCTGACCCTCTGCTCACGAGACCTCAGACTGGAGAAGCGTACTCTATTCAGGTACGGACCTTTAACTGTTCCCACCCTTTAACTTGTTCCTGTCTGATGACCCACTCTGCGTTTCCCTCTCAGGTTGGACCTGGTGCCCATTAATCGCTCCGTGGGACTGAAGGCCAAACCCACCAAACCAGTCACAGAGGTCCTCCGTCCCGTTGTGGCCAAATATGGACTCAGTCTCAGTGATCTGGTCGCAAAAGTAGTAAGTTTTCCCCGCCGGTGGCTACAAGGCGTTCATGTCTCAGCTCCTGTGCAGCGTGAGCCCATGTCAGAGGGTGGAGTGCTCCGATCCGGGGAAAGGGGGACGACCGCATCCTTTTCCATCCCAGCTCGGTGGTTGGAGCTCTGACTCTGCCTTGCATGTGAAGATGGAAGCAGCAGGGGCTATAATTAAAAATGACGACGCTCCTCAAACATGCCGACACTTTTTCCCTGTCCTCTTAACCCCTGTGAGGTTTATTTCAGTCCTGGTGGTTTCCAGGCATGATGGCAGCATTGTACAGTAGATCATAGCTGAAAGAGGGATTATAAATTAAGCTCATGATCTGATCTGAACTGTGCTCTGTTTAGATTGCTGCTCAACAGGTGAGGATGCTAACATGTGCCGTGTTTGCTTTAGAGCGGAGATACCGAGCCTTTGGATTTGGGCGCTCCCATATCCAGTCTGGACGGGCTGAGGGTGGTGCTGGAGCGGGCGGAGCCGTGTTCAGTGAAAGGTGACGTTAAATATAAATGACGTTTAAGGATCATTACAGCTGCTGCACAAAATCCTGAGAATAAATAAGAGAAAAATGTTAAAACTTCTCTCAGTGGCTCATTAGGGTCACCATGGTAACAAGGACTCTCTAAAAGCAGCAATCTGTAGTTTCCCCCTTTCAAGAATTATGTTTGATTTTTAAGAAATATGTATATGACTGAACACCGTAAGGTGAGAATAACAGTTGTAAAAAAAGCGTCTCACCTCTGTTGGCCACCCAGTGGTGCGCTCTCATGAACTGGAGGCTCTGCTTCAGGGGCTTGCAGTGCTATGCATGTTTCTGCCTCTAGATGGTGCCGTCAGAGGAAAAACCCTGGATTTCTACTTTAATACCCAAATGGAAAACTTGTTTGTATGTTCTTTGCAGAAGAAAATGTTGAGTGAGTGAGAACCAATAAAAAAGTATTTTTATTTTAAAAAATTTAAACAAGCACAAAATTGTGTAAAGGTGCTTTTTATTTTTTATTTAAGTAATTGTTTTTAATTGTACAATTTATTTCAATTTAATTCTTTAATATTTTATTTAATTATTTTTTATTTAATCATGTTTCACGTGTTAAGGTGCTTTAATCCACATGCCAAGCTCCTAAGCTGCAGACGAACTCACTCGCCTGGAGTGGTTGCTGATTACCTCACTCAGCTCTCCTCTGTGTGAACACCTCTGACTCGAGCAGCCACTTCTCTTCCTGTCCTGGGATAATAACGGCCCAATCTGAATGTTTCCTCTGCCTTTTTGTCAAACAGAGAAATCCAAGTCTTCCTCCCTGAAGAACCACCCTCCTACCAGGAGCTATTCTGCAGCGGTGAGTATTCCTTTAGTCCTCTGCTGTTGCTGCACGGCTTCTGCAAACATCACTCATCATTCGTCTCTGCCTAAATGCATCTTTAATCTCCGGATTTGACTCGTTCGTTTACCGTTTCTACTCTGACTTCCATCTTTTGGCTCACTCACTCGCTTGTGTGTTTCCTGCTTGAAGCACGGTAGAATTAGCTCCGTCGGTGGAGTCACACAGACGGGCCAAGCTCAGCATCTCAGTAAATCTGAATGCAGAAAGGTGCTTAGCAACACGTGCATGGTGTGACACCCCCTCCCACACACACACACACACACACACACACACACACACACACACACACACACACACACACACACACACACACACACACACACACACACACACACACACACACACACACACACACACACACACACACACACACACACACACACACCCCTCCATCCCCTAACAGACAGCATTGTTATTGTTGCATCTGCAGGGAGATGAGAGGTCAACACCAAAGGACTTTTCTGTGAGGGCGAGTGGACCAGACTCGGCACCCCCAGAGGGGAAGAGAAAACAGAAACAGATAAATATAGATGCAGCTGGAGGTAAATTCCTGCTTCTTCTTTACTCCTCTTCATTTTGTTTTAAGACTTTTTGGTGGACCTGTGCTTTGCTTGGCCGTGGGGACTAACTGTTGGAGGGAAAGTTCTCTCTGCCAGCCGGAGGTTCCTTTTGTTTAAATGAAGTTTTGTTTTGCTTTTTTAGAATTCTTTGAGCTTCTGATTCGAGCTCAAAGCTCGCGGGCCGACGACCAGCGTGGCCTTCTCAACAAGGAGGACCTGGTGCTTCCTGACTTTCTGAGACTGACTCCGCCCACCTCTTCCTGCTCCGTCACCTCCGACCTGGCCTGCTCCACACCCGCCTCTTCAAAGCAGAGCCGGGAGAATGGCGTCTCACAGCGGGGGGCCCTCTCCGCTGGCCTGCGCTCTGAAAGCCTGGACTCGTCCCTCAGCTCCAGCGCCAACGGACACTCCGCGGCCCGGCGCTGCCTGCTGCTCCCTCCTCGACACCACTCCACCTTCGGCACCCACCTCTCCCCTATTCCACGGCCCTCGGACGTCCGGCCCAGCCTCCGCACGGTGGAGGAAGACGCCCCCGCCGACCTGACGCTCGTCGGCGAGGGTGACATCAGCAGCCCCAACAGCACCCTCCTGCCACCCTCGCCATCGCCCGCCGCTTCCTTCAACAGCAGCCTCCCCGAGGCCAACTTCACTCCCCCACCCCCCTGCTCCCAGTCTCGGGACACAGTTGGAGAGGGAAAGTCCACTTCAGGTATTTCTACAAACTAGTGCTCATTGTGTGTTTGTGCGTGCGTGCGTGTGTGTGTGTGTGTGACTGACTTTATGCACTTTAAAGACAAGTTGATGTTAGTTTTTCTCTCAGTTTGCATGATTTGTTTAATTAAACTCTGTGTGTGTGTGTGTGTGTGTGTGTGTGTGTGTGTGTGTGTGTGTGTGTGTCTGTGTGTGTGTGTGTGTGTGTATGTGTGTATGTGTGTGAGAGCGATCCATCAACCCCTCTCACATCTGTACATAGTGATGTGTATATTGTATGCGATGCGGCTCAGATGTTTATTTTCTAGCTGGAGAAAGCGACCAGCTGCAGATTTGTGATCCAGCGTCAGACAGTGATGTGTTAAAGCTTCACAGCTGTTAGGGGCGAGTCAACGATGTCAGCATCACGGACCATTCCTTTTTGTTGTTGTTGTTCTTTCACAACTCCTCAGAAGCAGCGAGTCATCATGCCGTTCACGCTGTAGCAGAGCAATTGTGTAAACAGTTAGTCACGGGAGGCCGTGCTTCTGGGTGTCGGTGACATTGCTGAAGCGCCGTCACCCTGGCTCTGGCTCGTCCACTCCCTCTCCAGGTGCCTGTTGTAGATGATCACTGCCAATAAACTCTGTACCTGTGATTGAATAGACCTAATAAATGTTAGAATTTGAAATCACTCTCGTCTGTGTTTTTACACATTTGTGAGATCAGTTTTTCTCTCCCACCACCTCCGCCTCTCCCCGCCTCCACATGCCTTTTCCAGTCCTCCTTTAGCTCTGCTTCTTTTTTTATGTCTTGTGGCATTCTCTCATCAGCTCCCACTCCTTTTGTGCGTCTTCGGCGTTGCTGGCTGTGTGTTTTCTGCTCAGATCGTTCAGAGTGACATGTTTGTTCAGGCTTACTGCTTGGCCCACTTGCTTGTTGCTTCTTTTGTTCTGGGTTGTTCTTCTTAATGAGATCGCCGTTCTGTCGTGTGCACCTTCATCCATTCGCGGTCGATTGGTTGAGTCTGTCTTTTGCCAAACTCGTGTTTCGTTGCTTTCTGCTTTGTGTACGGAGAGCAAGCATGGGGATCTTCCGTGGTTGTGTGTGTTTGCTTCTGTTTAAAAGTCAAACAGTGATTTGATTAGATTCTTTTTTTTTTTTTTTTTGATTGTCAGAATTTGTGTTGGAGTGCTTGAAACATGAACATCAACCATTTAAAGCCCATAACAGAAAGAAGAGTCGTAAACTTCAGTTTTATTTTCTATTGTATTACAGTGTGTGACCATATAAGGTAACTTGTAGTACCTAAATCCTCCACCAGAGGGCAGATGAGATCCAATACAGCAATGTCTTGGAGGAAGGCACTAATCATGTTAAAGAGGTAGTGCTCACATTGGGGAAATTGAGTGTGATATATTTGACGTTTACTGAGACAAGCCAATATTTTTCCTCCCGTTTATTCTTTCCTTCCTTCCATCACAACGTGTACACCTCTCACCACACGATCCATCGTCTTAGCCACCGTGACTGTTGATGACAAACTGTGTCAGGCCAGGAATTCACTATGGGCTGTCAAGTTGCTAATTACCATCACTGCCTAATTAGCATAATTGGCCACATATTGGAAAATGTTGTGTATTTAAAAATGTGCGCATGGACTGGTGGTGGGGGTCAGATGGAAAGAGGATGTACGGCAGCCTCACCTCCGCCACTTCCCCTTAGGAACCTAAAACAAGTCTCAGTGCAACATGAACACGTCAGACGGAGGTGCACACATCAGCGTAGGGGTTAAGGCTTGTTAAGACGTCTTCATCAGCAAGTTTGCGCTGAAACTAGGGCTGGGCAATAAATCTAAAATGTGTCGCTATCGAAATTTCTGACTTATCGAGATATATTTTCCCATGTGAATAAATGTGATGATAAAAAAATGAAAAGATGTGTGTAGGTTGGCATTCATGTCCCTTTAAGAAGCTGTACCACCTTGAGTTAAGTAAAGATGTGACTCAACATAATTCACGTGACAGCCTCATCTAGTGGGTTACTTTTGTTTCTGCACATACCCGTAGTTATCGTCCATTTATCGCGATCGAGGTGAAATCCTCAATATATCGTGATGTTGATTTTAGGCCATGTCATCCAGCCCTATCTCAAACACACACATGTTGACCGAGACGTTTACCTTTTCTACTTCTTCGTCAAAGAGGTTCTGGCAAACTGTCCGGCGCCTCAGGAGAGGAAGGCAGCAACTCGCTCACACTGTTTACAGTGGGGATGGGGAGCTGCTGACGTCAACTGAGGCTATAGTCGGACGGTGGAAGGAATACTTTGAGGAGCTCCTCAATCCCACCAATGCGCATTCCGAGGAGGAACCAGAGCTGGGAGGCCTGGGGATGGACTGTCCGATCTCGGGGGCAGAAGTTGCTGAGGTAGTCAAACAACTACACAGCGGCGGAGCCCCGGGGGTGGATGAGGTTCGTCCTGGGTATCTCAAGGCTATGGATGTTGTAGGGCTGTCATGGTTGACACGTCTTTACAATATTGCGTGGTCATCGGGACGGGGGCAGTTCCTAGGGAGTGGCAGACCGGGGTGGTGGTCCCCATCTTTAAGAAGGGTGACCTGAGGGTGTGTTCCAACTATAGGGGGATCACACTCCTCAGCCTCCCTGGAAAGGTCTACTCCAAGGTACTGGAGAGGAGGGTCAGATCGATAGTTGAATCTCAGATAGAGGAGGAGCAAGGTGGTTTTCGTCCTGGCCGTGGAACTGTGGACCAGCTCTATACCCTTGCAAGGGTGATTGAGGGGGCATGGGAGTTTGTCCAACCAATCCACATGTGCTTTGTGGATTTGGAGAAGGCTTATGACCGTGTCCCCAGGGGCACCCTGTGGGGGACGCTCCAGGAGTATGGGGTGGGTGGCTTTCTGTTAAGGGCCATTCAGTCCCTTTACCAGAGGAGCGTGAGTTTGGTCCGCATAGCCGGTAGTAAGTCGGATCTGTTCCCAGTGAGGGTTGGACTCCGCCAGGGCTGCCCTTTGTCACCGGTTCTGTTCATCACTTTTATGGACAGAATTTCTAGACGCAGCCGTGGTGTGGAGTGTGTCGAGTTTGGTGGCAGGAGAATCTCGTCTCTGCTTTTTGCGGATGATGTGGTCCTCCTAGCTTCATCCAGCTCTGACCTTCAGCTCTTGCTGGGTAGGTTCGCGGCCGAATGTGAAGCGGCTGGGATGAGGATCAGCACCTCCAAATCTGAGACCATGGTTCTCGACCGGAAAAGGGTGGCTTGCCACCTCCGGGTCGGGGGAGAGGTCCTACCTCAAGCGGAGGAGTTTAAGTATCTCGGGGTCTTGTTCACGAGTGAGGGTAGGAGGGATCGGGAGATCGACAGGCGGATTGGTTCGGCGTCTGCAGTGATGCGGACGCTGAGCCGATCTGTCGTGGGGAAGAGGGAGCTGAGCCAGAAAGCCAGGCTCTCGATTTACCGGTCGATCTACGTCCCAATCCTCACCTATGGTCATGAGCTTTGGGTAATGACCGAAAGAACGAGATCGCGGATACAAGCGGCCGAAATGAGTTTCCTCCGTAGGGTGGCCGGGCTCAGCCTTAGAGATAGGGTGAGGAGCTCGGACATTCGGGAGGGACTCGGAGTAGAACCGCTGCTCCTCCGGATCGAAAGGAGCCAGTTGAGGTGGTTTGGGCATCTGGTCAGGATGCCTCCTGGACGCCTCCCCGGGGAGGTGTTTCGGGCATGTCCTGCCGGCAGAAGGCCCCCGGGTCGACCCAGGACACGTTGGAGAGGTTACATCTCCAATCTGGTCCGGGAACGCCTTGGGGTCCTGCCGGAGGAGCTGGTGGAGAAGGCCGGGGAGAGGACGGCCTGGAGCTCCCTAATTGGGATGCTGCCCCCGCGACCCGGACCCGGATAAGCGGAGGAAGACGAAGACGAAGAAGACTTCTTCGTCAGTGTTGTGAAGCGATTCTTTAACAGGACAGCAGAGGGCGAAGCGTTTTTCTGGGGTCATCAATGCAGTCACGATTCTAGAGTGTTTATATTGTGTTTATGTACTTCTGAGACTTTTTAACACGGACAAATTAGTCCTCCACTTCTCCATCCAGGTACCAACTCTAAGCTCACGTTTACTGTAATTTCCTGACTTGAATAAAAAGTTTGTTGCTTATCTTCGTACTCCTTCAGTCACAAATGTATTAACTTTAATATCGTCCGACTTTTTCCACAAGACGTTCTTCTATCTGCTCCGTGTCCGACGCTAGATAGCTTTGGTTCTTGTTTTATTGTTGTGAGAGGTAATGGCAGTGCTGTTGACGATGTTAAAGGAAGCGGCGTCCTCCTCCAGTCACAGGCTTGTGGTCTTCGTCGCTTTTGAAGGATATTTAGAATAGTGGGCCGGACTCAGTCCATCCTTGCGAAGCTGTTGGAGAGCCCTTGAGTGTCTCAGAACTGATGAAAACAGAGAAGTGTAAATTAGGCTTTAGTTAGGGTGGGATCAGCCTCCCAGATGTACCATTCACCACTTACTGTTGGCTACTGCTGGGAGGACTGGGCCACCTGTGAGTGCTCTGGGTGTAGCGAGGTGGCTAACGGTGGTCGTTTTAACACACCGCAAAAGTCACTAAATCTGTTTCAAGTTGCGTTTTTAAAAACAGAAGTGCCTGAAAACTTGCTAGGGATAAAGTCAAAGTTCACCACCCCGACTCGGTCACAGGTCTTGCTGTTATCGCTCTGTAACCTTGAACTGGTAAAATGTCTCGTCGTGGGTTCCAAAATTGCAAACCCTTCACATTGAGACCTATTTATGACACTTTGCTACAAGAAAATCTGCATAGCAGTCACAATTATCTCACGTACCCCGTGTGACCCGGCCATTTGTAAAAGTTGTCTCAAAAGGTCCTGCCCGCACCAATCGGAGTGATTCCAACTACAAATTCTCCTGACTAGCTATGTTTGGTCTTTCAGGGAAGCGTAGGTCAACCTGATAGAAGAATGTTTTTGTGATTTGTTGTAGTCTTTTCTAAACAAAAATATTTGAACCTGCTCCATGTGTCTATGTTCATGAAAACCTCGTTTGACTCGACGGGATATACGTACAAGACGAGGATTTTAAAAAGCCCCTTCTGCTCCTGCACAGCCTCTTTTCTGGTTGCTAAGTGCATCAGACTGATTCTTCCCACCACCGGGCGCCATGGTAACCCTATCCACGGATTGACTGTGCTACAGATAGATACTGTCACTATTGGTTTTCATCTATCTCTCTCCCCATGCTAAAATAGAAACGTGGCAATGATTCAGTAAAGCCCCCTCGCTGCAGGAAAATGTGGAAATGCAACAAGTTAACACGCCTCCGCATTCCCACTTCTTCTTAGAGACTTTGGAAAGTTTGTGCTTTTTCATTCGGGTGGCCAAGTCTTACTGGTTGGCCTTCGTGACGAGTTAGAGAATAAAAAACACACTCCCACTGATCAGGAATCAAGCTCACGTCTCAAATACGCAGAAGAATTTATTGTTTAACACTTTGTTCTGCTGGCTGTCACTCAGTGATTCAGTTACTGCTGGACTGATGCCCTCTGCTGTTTTAGGAGACATAAAAAAATAAAACTACCAATAGAGGAAGACACGAAGTCTTTTCTGTAGTAAAAACAAACGAACCCTGATGCCAACTAAATCTATTAAGACTTTTTAGTCCACAGTGTTTCTGGCCACATGTGAGGTTTGATTGCCCTAACTTGGCTCATCTGTTGTAAATGACCCCTAATTAAACACTCAGAATAAAAGCTGTAGGGGTTCTCAGCCATGCTTGTACAGTGATGTCCACTAGGGGGCGGCATCACACAGCGTTACCACCATTCTCTTTATTTACCTATCCAGCCAATGAGTTGGACTGTCATATTTATAAAGATCATTTTTAAGGACATTAACTGTTTTTTCTCTCATTAGCCATGCTCAGATGTCTGTTACTGGTTAAATAAAAATAAATAATAATTGGCCACTGCAGAGATGACTAAAGGGTCCTTTGGACTGTATCCAAAGGCTACAAGTGTCTTTTAATGTTTGTGTTCACCTGAGGCACCATATGGCTTAGTTTTGCCCCCTTTGGCTCTTTTCATGCACATGTCCCTGTGTCCAGCCTCAAAGCTGACAGCCGCTGACCCTGGGCCAGCCCTTTCATTCGTCTGGCAGTCAGAGCAGGACGTCTTGACACAGATCTCTGGCAGCGTTCCTTGGCGAGGACCGGATCTGTATCTTTTCCAGTCTGGCCGATCTGCCACTCAGAGCCCCGCTGCTGCTGAAACGACTCGCCACAGGAGGCGCGGCCGTGTTAAACGACGCGTTTTCACACGAGTGCCGGAGGAGAGTGAGAATGTATTAAATCAACACCTGAGAATGATGCGAGAGAAAACTCCTACTCTAGTGGAATTCTGCTTCACGGATGGGACGAAATGAACAGGGGCGTGTCCAGGAGGTTTTTAAAGGGGGGCCACTATAATCATGAAGTGGGGCAACAGGATAGAATGTCTGTAGTTTTATCGTGTGTATGGAAGGTGAATAATCTCTTCTAAAGGAAGGACAAAAACAAGATGAAGCATTAATATATAAGTGCTGCAATTTATTAAAGACCAAGTTCATTTGTTTTTTTTCCAACACATTTATTGTGGTCTAGTATAAATAAATGCTTTAGAGATGATCTCTGTAGGGAAATAAAGCTCTTCCATCCCTGTTTCAGGATGTAGCATTTAATTGAAGAAAGGGGCAGGATTTGGAGTCTTATTTCCTGATATTCAGACATCTCACCTCTGATTGGCTAACAGCAACAACACTTTTTTTTGTTACATTTTGCAGCAGTCTCAAGTATGAACGCCTTGTGAGTCAATCTTTGTGGGGGAAAAAAGCTCTGCCGCTCCTGTTTCATGAACTAGAAGTGAGCCAGAGGACAGGTGAGCAGAGGACGGCAGGTTTTGGATACTTTTCCTGATATTCCGACATTTCACCTCTGATTGGCCAACAGCATTGTGACACTGCCCCTGACTCAGTTAGCTTTGCAACATGGAGGTTTTAATCTCCACTAATAACACAAACCTGAAACAATTGCTAATGCTAACTGTTAGCTTCTGCAGCTAATGCAGGAACCAGGGGTAGGAGATGATGTTCACGTTTAGCCTACATTTGAGACTCAGAGCGACCAAACATTTAAAAATGGGATGCTGGAATGCTAAGGGATGTTAACCCAATTTATAAAAAAAATAAGACTAGAGATCATTGTGTAGTTGTAAAAAGTGAAATAGATCATTTGCATTTTTTCCAGTGAGGCCATCTTCACAAGTTGTATTTGAAATGTCTCTAAGAGCTCTGCCTCTTTAACAGTTTTAGTGCTTTACTGAGGAATTTACTGAATTTTAATGCATTCTGTCCTTTTGTGGAGGATTTGAGTACTGCAAGTGTCAAAAGCCCATCCATCCATCTTCTGAACCCGCTTTGTCCACCGCAGGGCAACACAGAGACACACAGGACAAACAATCATGCACACACACACACGTTCACATCTAAGGACAATTTAGACAGACCAATCAACCTAACAGTCATGTTTTTGGACTGTGGGAGGAAGCCGGAGCACCCGGAGAGAACCCACGCATGAACAGGGAGATCATGCAAACTCCATGCAGAAAGTTCCCAGGCCGGGAAGCAAACCCAGGACCTTCTTGCTGCAAGGCAACAGCTCTAACCGCGCAGCCCGTGTCAAAAGCCAATTTATTCATTATTAGACCTCTTAAAGAAAGAAGAAATCATCAATGGCAAAAAATTTCTGATTATTTTTTCATTTATCCAGCATTTAAAGGATCATTTCAGAGTAGATAAAAATTTAGCTTTCCAGCCATTGTCTGATAACCATCATGTAGCTTAGCTCCAAGTCATGGAACGTGTCACAGAGCGGCTCTGCAGAAGCAGCATCAGTGCGTCATGTTCTGCAGAAAACGTCCAGTGGGATTACTTGTATTATTTTTCAGTTCTGAAGGTGAGAACTGCCCCTCAGTGTGATAACCTCGAACTTCCTTTGCAACTTTGACCAAACTATTAGATTTCTTTTTGAAAGTTTAAGAGGGTCATTCGCCCGTTTTGTCACAGTTCTGTGCATTTCCGGAGCTCAGGAGGTCAGCTGTTGCAGCTCTCAGGCTGTGTTTACAACCACGCCGGTCAGCGGTGAGTCACCGCCTGCAGTGTGGGGTGCATTTACGAGTTCAAATGGCCCGACTGAGCGTCTCTGTGCTCTGTGTTTAGAGTCTGAGGGGCCATGGTGCTTGTGGGGATGCTGCAGGATGTTTTCTCTTTGAGTCATCGTATGTTTCCATTTTTCATCCCTTCCTTTCCCAACTTAAGCAAGTTTAGACAGTCAGCGTTACGTTCCAAGGCCTGTCACGACAGCAGCGGGTTACACAACTAAACCAGCATGCCAAAAGCAATGAAAAGTGTTCATTCAGGCAGAAAAGAAGAACCGCCAATGGATGACAAAACTCCTTTGAACTGATCTGAAGCCGAGCCAAACATGAGTCATGAAACTTGAGGCAAAAGCGTAAAAACTTTCTTCTTATTATATTTATTTCTCTGATTGTTATTAATGTGTTACTGATGATTTTTTTTTGTGTGTTCTAAGTTAATTCTGTTGTTTTATCTCTTTGTGGGTCTCTTTCTTGGTCAGTTTCAATGTATTCAGTCCAATTCTTAACATTTTTGCTTCACTGATTCACAAACTACATGTCCCAGACCAGAGAATGTTTATTTTGCCCTTACTGCATATTCAGTAAGCCTTCCACTCACGCTTGATTATTTTCCCCGTCCAATCATTCTCAACAACACTCAGAGATCTTCATCTATCCATAATTTATCAGCTCACACTCGATTTACCACGTTTTTGTGTCTCCTGTGCACAGAGGGAGGAACAGAAACCACCCACGGCATCAAATCACCTGCTGACAGAGCAGATGCGGCACGCACGCAGCTTCAGGACGTGATGGATGTGGAGGGAGTGCATCTAGAAGAAGGAAAGCTTGAAACGTCCCAGGGAGAGGACTCTGAGCATAGCTTGAGTTTCCAGGGGTATGTTGCAGAGCTGCGGCAGTGCCAGAGCAAGATGAGGAATGCCCAGATTCCCCAGAGTGGCCACATCCCACCAGAGGGCAAAGACTGCCAGTCGGACCTTTACAAGGCCACGATTGTCTAAAGGGAAACCCGCCCCTCCTTACGACTACTGCACTTTTAGGCCCGAGGCACTAGATATCTAATAGAAAACTAGTTAAATGATTATCTGCATTTAAGAGATGTCTATATTTTTTGTCCAAATGAGAAAAAAATACCAATTTCATGGAGATAAATGTTGTATATTTCTTTAAAATTCAGGACTTTTGATGTTAAATTTTAGTTATGTCACTTTGGATCGGTGATAGATATTTTTTCTATGGACTAATTAGTTCAGATATTTTAAAGTGGGCTTCAGTGAAATGCTATAAAACAGTTATTATCTCAAATGTTCTTCAGAGTGGAGAAAAGAAAATGAGCTCTGAACTTTTAAGCTCTGGGGCCTTTTCCACCATACCTACCCAACTTGGCTCAACTTGGTTTGGCCTGGTTCCAATTTGTTTCTATTAGTAATTGGTATCAGTTTGTCGTCCTCTTTTCGGATCCAGTGGTTCTGATGGACCTTTTCCAACAGCACCACTCAGCCCAAAACAACTCGACACAGCCTGGGTTAACTTAGCTCACCTCAGAGTAGTTGGTTTTCCCTGCTAGCTCTGTCATAGCAACGGGGGTGGGGGGGTGGAGTGCCCGCAGCATACGCTTGGGGCTGCACAATCTCTATATGAGACAAAATTTATTTAACGTTTATTTATTTAAAATAGTGTGAGGTGATCAGTAGAGAGTGAGGGGGTCTGTATGCTACACAGAAACACAACTCAGCACAAACATGGCGGTGTTGGACATTCTGCTCAGTTTGATGGCTTTTATCAGACTCTGAACCAGGAAATGGCTGCAGGCAGCAGCCAGAAAGCTCCGGAGCAACCAGTGACTCCACCCACTAGCCAATCAGAGTCCGACAGTCACAATTGGGCCATTCCCAACTGTACCGGATCGGCCCGGGCCGGGTAGCGTAGGTTGTTTACATATCTGGGTGGCCTGGTATTTTTCCGGGCCAACCAAGGCTCATTCTCAGCCCTCTTCTCGAGGAGGTGTGCTTCAGGCCGACCAGGGCCAACACACCCACTGCTGACAGCAAATTCACACCTTCCATTAGAGCAAGCCTCTGATTGGTGGGTAGAATCAGCCCACATGGGCTTAAGACAAGGATGTGTGGAATCAACTGGGCCAGGCTGGGGCCGACTGGGGCTACCCGGCCCGGGCCGACCCGGTACAGATGGGAATGGCCCAAATGATGCACAGCTCAGCCCTTTGAACCACAACGGGATAGGAACTGAAAAGTAGAGGGGAAGAGGGCTGATACCAAACTGTGTTGTTGGAAAAAGCAGCCAGACCAAGCTGAACCCTCCAGTCGCACAGTAGTGTAGTTGGAAAAGGACTAAGCATACCAAGCTGGGTTGAAGACGTATATTTTTTGAGAAAGGTGTCAGTTTGTTTGAATGAAGAAAGAGAACACAACAGTTTTTGCTAAATTGCTGGAACACGCAAAGAAAACATGATGAGTTCACGTGTTCTTATCTGTAAGCGACTCATTCAGTGTGTTTACATGCACATCAGATATAAGCTGTGCTGCAGCGTTGTTGTTGTTGTCCATTTCTGCAGCTGTTGTGCATATCCTGTTTCAATTCCTGCCAGTGTTTTATTACTATTTGCATTGCTATACGTTAACCGGAAGAATGCCAATATGAAAGGGGCATGTCGCCACCTACTGTACCAGAGTGGAACAAACTTTATTTGAGAGGCCCGTTCTCTAATGCGCATGTAAACTAGGATAAAGTCTCCCAGCTTATTTCCATAAGATCAACCTAAATCATATTAGATGTTGGTCAGTCGCATGTAACCGCACTGATTGAAAAGTCACCTGACTCTTCTCACCTGAAATAGCAAACCTAATTTAAATGCTAACCGTTATAGCCGTTTTTTATGGAATTACTGCAAGATGCAAATTCCCAAAGCCGCACAAGACGTGCTAAAGCTAGCTGCTACTGCAGCCATTTACAGCACTTTGAAGGTTTATGAAATAACATTTTTTGTGGTAAGAATTGGTTGTAAACGCCTCTAGCTTGTCATTCTAGGCACACCTCATAGCTAAATGCAAATCTCCAAATGGAGGCTTTTAAGAGTTTTGTAAACCTTTTCACGAAGACCCACTTTATATGATCTGAACTATGACATTTTAAATGAAATGTAATTCTTCTTTTTGCCATGATAAACTGAAATATAAAACAGTACCATCTTGAATCTTACTTTTTGATACCATTGTCTGAAGATGTATTCCATGTTCTCAGTGAATTGGTGAATCTAATGTTAATCTACAAAGTGCCCTCTTATCTGCTTTCTTTGCTAGTCTTCTGTTGTGGGAGGCAGTTAGATGTAGTAGAAACGTTAAAAATAAATACTGTTAAGTGAATTTACGGTTTAAATCTCCACATATTTGTCAAACCGCTGTTGACCGTTAGAAGATGGCACTCAATAGAGACCACATGGCAGGCAGGACTTTGTTTTTAGGATCAGCCAGGAAGAAAGACAGTTTTCTAAAGCATTTGGCTCTTTCTGTTGTCTTCCCATGTTTTACTGATCACATTAGACAGTACTTCTATTGTCTGTATTTTATTCTTCTGTGGTTTTGTTATCGTCCAGATTGTTAAACAATTAAAATGCTTTCACGGCTACAGTTTCTTGTGCTGTTAGATCACAACGCAGTGTTCCACACTGTGTGGAACTCTGAAAAACCATTTTTGAATCAAAATTTCTGATTATAATCGGTCACTCTGAGTGATTCATGCAGGCTGAATGTAGAAATGGTCTCCTACACCTATCTCCTGCATTAGCTTCTGATAGAAAATAGATGGTGAAATTCTAGGATTGGAAAAGCCTGACAGATCTACCTCACGCTATCACTTAACATTCATGGACTCACCCACCTTGATGTTGGTTTAGCATCCAGAAATCATCATAACGTCTTGGCTAGTAGAAGCTAACATTCAGCATTAGCTACTCCACCACACAGCAGAACTCCTTCAGGCTTGTGTTAGTTGTGGAGATAAAACATCCATGTCTCATAGCAAATGGAGTCTGGTAGAGACCAATCAGGTGAGATGTCCAAAAATTAGGAAATAAAGCTCTAATCAGCAAAGGAGACAGGCGCTCCTGCCACCTCCAAGTATGACTTGCAAGGCATTCATTCTTACTGGAGAACACTGCAAATGTGTTGATTAAACGAGTGTTCAACACCTTTAAGGAGTTCCTCAGGGTTCAATGCTTGGACCAACATCTTTTACTTTCTGCAGGCTTTCATTGGGGCAGTTTATTAGACAAATCCAGGACCAATTTCCATGTGTGTGCCTTAAAATAGGAAACATTTTCAGACTACAAGCATGTCTTGAAGACACAACTCCTGTATGCCTTCAATTGTTAAGGTTTTGGAATTGAGTCATCTCAAGACAATTTGTAGTCCTTCTCTTCCTGTGGAGGACATAAACTTATGTAAGGAATCTTTATAATGAAATGGTGTGTTTTTCATCACTCAACATGTTCAGCCTTTATGTTTCCTGTCCCGTCAGACCTCAGCCACACAAGGCAGAAGGCCACCCCATTTCTGAGCCTTGTTCTACTGGAGGTTTTGGAGACCGATACCTTTGTGGACCTGGTCATAAATCTTCCATCCTCTATTTTTAGCTTCAGCATCTGGAGAGAGATTATTACAGCTGGTGAAAATTAGAGGTTGGATTGTGGGAACAGGGAGTTTAGCATATCACTGAAGGAATGTTGACAACACGTGAAGCTAAAAGGCTCTGTACTGTCATTCCTAACTCTTATCTCCAGATACTGTCATTAACCGGGTCTTCGCGAGAAAAGCTACTTTTCCAGATGTTGAATTCACTCTCAGATGAGGCATTCTCTCATATCAGAACTTGTTGACCCACCTGCAGGTTTTTGGCCACCCCAACTGCTTTCACTCGGTTTCTTCTGGTTTTGCTACAACGCTGTGGCATGATGCATGCTGGTTGTCTTATGTTGAGAACCAGACGTGCCTTTGTTATTTCAGCTACATTTTCACCAACAATTCATTTACTGCTAAACTGTGCTTCAAACTTGATTTTTAAAGTCTGATTATGTATACTCCATTTAATTTATTGTAGATCATAAAATATATTGCATGTTCACCCAGTGAGGTGATCACAATCAGTTCACAAATCAGTCTAAATGTGCGATAGAGAGCACTTCTGCTTTGCTAAGATAATCCATCCCACCTCACAGGTGTGCCACATCAAGATGCTGATCCGACATCATGAGTAGTGCACAGGTGTACCTTATACTGCCCACAATAAAAGGCCACCCTGGAATGTGCAGTTTTGTTTCACAGCAAAATGCCACAGATGCCTCAAGCATTGAGGGAGCGTGCAATTGGCATGCTGACAGCAGGAATTTCAACCAGATCTGTTGTTTGTGCATTGAATGTTCATTTCTCCATCATAGGCCGTCTCCAAAGGCGTTTCAGAGAATATGGCAGTACATCCAACCGGCCTCACAACCGCAGACGAAGTGTAACTACATCAGCCCAGGACCTCCACATCCAGCAGGTTCACCTCCAAGATCGTCTGAGACCAGCCACTCAGACAGCTGCTGAAACAATAGGTTTGTGTAACCAAACAATCTCTGCACAAACTGTCAGAAACCATCTCAGGGAAGCTCAACTGCATGCTCGTCGTCCTCATCGGGGTCTTGACCTGACTCCAGCTCGTTGCTGTAACAGACTTGAGTGGGCAAATGCTCACATTCGATGGCGTCTGGCACGTTGGAGAGGTGTTCTCTTCACGGATGACTCTCGGTTTACATTGTTCAGGGCAGATGGCAGACAGTGTGTGTGGCGTTGTGTGGGTGAGCGCTTTGCTGATGTCAATGTTGTTGATCGAGTGGTCCATGGTGGTGGTGGGGTTATAGTATGGGCAGGCATCTGTTATGGATGAAGAACCCAGGTGCATTTTATTGATTGCATTTTGAATGCACAGAGATACCGTGATGAGATCCTGAGGCCCATTGCTGTGCCGTACATCCATGAACATCACCTCATGTTTCAGCAAGATAATGCACAGCCCCATGTTGCAAGGATCTGTACACAATTCTTGGAAGCTGAAAATGTTCCAGTTCTTGCATGGCCAGCATACTCACCGGACATGTCACCCGTTGAGCATGTTTGGGATGTGCTTGACCGGCATATATGACAGCGTGTACCAGTTCCCACTGATATCCAACAACTTCACACAGCCATTTAAGAGGAGTGGACCAACATTCCACAGGCCACAATTGACAATCTGTTAAGCTCTATGCGAAGAAGACGTGTTGCATTGCATGAGACAAATGGTGGTCACACCAGATACTGACCGGTTCTGAGTCCCCAGACCCCCAATAAAGCAGAAAACTGCACATTCCAGGGTGGCCTTTTATTGTGGGCAATATAAGGTACACCTGTGCACTACTCATGATGCCAGATCAGCATCTTGATGTGGCACACCTGTGAGGTGGGATGGATTATCTCAGCAAAGCACAGGTGCTCACTATGCTCACTACTTTAGACTGATTTTTGAACAATGTTTGAGAGAAATGGTAATATTGTGTATGTGGAATGAATTTTAGATCTTTAAGTCCATCTCATGAAAAATTGGAGCAGAAACAAAGGTGTTGCCTTTATATTTTTGTTGAGTGTATTTTCCATCACTCTAGGGAACCCACAGAGATATGTTAGCCTTCATGCAAACCTGTTTAATTTGACATTTTTATAAACTGAAGCAAGCTTTAATAAATAAAATGGAAAAACCACCAAGTTGTAACAAATCTATAAGAAAACAACTTCCAAATGTCCTATCTAAAAGTAATTACTGGGTTGTCACTCTGCGGACAAAGAGCAGCCCAAAGACTCCTTATGAAAAAATATATACATGGAAACAGTGTTCCCTTGCCCGGGCGCAGGTCACCGGGGCCCCCCTCTGCAGCCAAACCTCGAAGTAGAGCAAGTTTGGCGAGCGCTTGGTGGCTGGGCCTTCATCGATGGAGTCCGCCCAGACAGCCCGAAGAGGAAATGTGGGTCCCCTTCCCATGAGCTCACCACTACTGGGAGGGGCCAATGGGGTAAGGTGCAATGTGTGATGGTTGGTAGCTGACGGCAGAAACCTTGGCGGTCTGATCCTTGGCTACAGAAGCTGGCTCTTGGTACGTGGAATGTCACATCTCTGATGGGGAAGAAGCCTGAGTTGGTGTGTGAGGTTGAGAGGTGAGTCCGTCTAGATATAGTTGGACCTCGATACATGGCTCTGGCTCCGGTACCAGCTTCCTTGAGAGGCATTGGACACTCTACCACTCTGGAGTTGTCCCCACCGAGAGGCACAGGGGTGGGTATGCTAGTTGTCCCCCATCTTGGTGCCTGTATGTTGGGGTTTAAACTGGTGAACAAGAGGGTAGCCTCCCTCCACTTATATCTGGGGGGATGGGTTCTGACTGTGGTTTGTGCTCATGCACCAAACTGCAGTTCAGACTACCCACCCTTACATGTGCTCTTGACATCAGGATACCTTAGGCCACAGCTCGATGATTGACATTGTCATCTCATCTGATCTGTGGCCGCATGTCTGGACACTCAGGTGAAGAGAGGGGTGGAGCTGTCAACTGACCACTACCTGGTGGTGAGTTGGCTTCCATGGTGAGGGAGGATGCTGGTCAGACCTGGCAGGCCCAAAGGTATTGTGAGGGTCTGCTGGGAACGTCTGGCAGAGTCTCCTGTCAGAAAAAGTTTAAATTCCCACCTCCAAAATGTTCAGGGGTTCAGGGGAGGAGGGTCTGACGGACTGTCAAACCTCAGATTCAGGAGGAGCAATGTGGTTTTCTTCCTGGCCGTGGAACATTAGACCAGCTCTATACCTTTAGGGGGAGGTGCGTGGGAGGGGGCCACCACCGCCATTTTGACCATGTCACAGAGTCTGTCAAGCCCCGACAATTCCACAAAAGGGAAGAGTGGTGGAGCTGAGGGTGGGGCTGTAAGGCTGGGATCAAATGACGACACCCGGTGTCGGTACAAGATCTGCTCGGGTGCAAGATCGGCTCGGGGTCCTTCGACTGCCGATGACGTCAAAGTACGGCAAACCTACTCGGACAAAATGCAGTACACATCTATACTGTTGGAAAGAATTTAGCAGTTTCGTTATTAAAATAATGTTTCTTACGACGTAAGTTTGTGTTTACAATGGTATTTGTAAAATAAAACACTATATTGTATTCATAATGTTGAACTCCTCTTTGAGCACATCCCTTGAAGGATCATAGGTATTAGCAACACCTGTGAAATTGTATTTGCGGGAAAGAAGTGTGTCCTGTTTATAGAAGTATTTTGTGTTTAGTTTTTGACATCTTGTCCATTCGTAGTTCAGTTACGCTCATAGCTGCTAGCCAAAACTCTGGAGTTAAAAGTTTTCTGGCTGTACTAAAATACCTGAATGTACTTATTTGATTGATGGTAGTTTTACTTTCTATTAGACTCCAAATGTAATCATTTGGCACGTTTCTAATTCATAATTTGTAATAATGTAATCGGTGATATTAGCATTAGCATTCCTATGGGTTTTTCCACGTATATTAGCATTGTGCTAACCACTCGCTGTCAAATTGCAGCCTTTGCG